CTAGCAAAGAGTGTCCAGCAAGAGTGCCCAGCAAACGTGTCAAGCAAAAGCATCTAGCAAAGAGTGCCCAGCAAACGTGTCAAGCAAGAGTGTCTAGCAAAGAGGGTCAAGATAGAGTGTCTAGCAAAGAGTGTCAAGAAAGAGTTTCAAGCAAGACTGCTTAGCAAGAGAAAGTCTCGTGGAAAATGCTCGGTTTTGGAAGCTTTGATTGTCGCTTCAAGTGAAAGTCTCGTGAAAAATGCTTGTTTTCAAGAGTGTCAAGCAAGAGTGTCCAGCAAAAGTGTCAAGCAAGAGTGTCAAGCAAGAGCGCCCAGCAAGAGTGTCAAGAGAAAGTGTCAAGAAAGATTGTCTAGCAAAGTGTTTCAAGAAAGAGTGTCTAGCAAGAGTGTCGTGTCCAGAGTGTCCAGCAAAGAGTGTCCAGCAAAAGTGCCAAGCAAGGCTGTCCAGCAAGAGTGTCAAGAAAGAGTGTCCAGAAAGAGTGTCTCGCAAAGAGCGTCCAGCAAAAGTGTCAAGCAAGAGTGTCCAGCAAGAGTGTCTAGCAGAATGTCATTTCAAGATTGTCCAGCAAGAGTGTTTAACAGAGTGTCCTGGCAAGAGTGTCCAGCAAGAGTGTCTAGCAAAGAGTGCCCAGCAAGAGTGTCAAGCAAGAGTGTCTAGCAGAATGTCATTTCAAGATTGTCCAGCAAGAGTGTCTAGCAGAGTGTCCTGGCAAGAGTGTCCAGAATAGAGTTCCCAGCAAGAGTGTCAAGCAAGAGTGTCTAGCCAAGAGTGTCAAGAAAGAGTGTATAGGAAGAGGTTTTGATTGATACACTTTTGCGCCTTTGCATTCTCCTCTATACATGAGTGACTGCATTCGGGTTCGTGGGTTCTATCAGGTTTCCAGAGTTGTTGTCATCTAGAGTTTGCTTCCAGTGCAGATAGATTCCCCGGTATTGCGATGTAGTCACTGAAATGGTAGCCAACCTTGAAACTGTCGAGCCTTCTCCCACAAGGATGCAATATTTACAGGCTCATCCCACACGCGATCTTTGCAGCCAGCCTGTCAAGAATACGTTGCAATCGCAATGCCACCAATACAGGCCAGGTCGTTTTTGTGGCATTTTCCATCTCCTTGTCTACCATGTTGCTTGCTTTGTCAACTTTGTCAAACTAATACTGTATTGCTACCCCACCTCTCTGAAGATGAGTCCCAATCCACCAGATTCCGGTGGCTCTGAAGAGAGCACTTCCCACCTCGACGAGGTGGCGTGATGTCGAATTGAAAACGTCCGACTGCTTCGCCAAGCGTCACTTGCAAGAAAAACGCATCTCTCTCAACTCGCTGGCGAGAATATCGTCAACATTACAAATCTGAAACCCACGGCAAAGGCTGTCATGACCATTGAGACTTCGACAATCTTGGCAAGAGCTCATCCTAGGTAGCTCGAGATTCAGGAATTTATAATTAGCGCTACCGAGACATGTCCCTTGATGATGACCCCTGGATGAACGAGACCCTGTGCAAAAATTGATTGAATTTTTCTTTCTGTCTATCTATCTACAAGTATCTATCTATCTGTCTATTACTATCTATTTATCTATCCGCCCCCAGCTGATGGTGGGAGCGCGCCAAAGGACACTGGGCTCTGCAAAAAGTCCACAGAGATTGTTTTTGTGGAAGGGCGTGGATTGCCGTCTGAAAGCACCGTTTGGTGCTGACCAATCAGCTTTGTGTGGAATTAGATTGCGCAAAAGCGTGGGCGGCGAGGACATAGTCGGGAGCCTCGGGAGAAGGAAATCATGTCGGGGAGTGAGGCAAGAAGTACGTCACGTTACGTCACGACTAAAGATAAGAGTCGGACATGGCTCTAAAGAAGAACTTATTGCGGGCCGACGGTGAAGTATGTATTGGCCGAGGAACTTTCGGGGCCATTCTTTTTTTTCGGGAATTCGATTGTCAATAGCGTGGCGAAGGGTGGTGAGAAGGCCCGGGGGCCTGGGAAAGGCTGCGGCAGCTGGAAGCAGAGTGAGTTTTTATAGCTGGCAGAAAGCAACGCTTCGAATAGTTTGGGATCATCTTGTAGTTTGGAATTGAATAGGTTACGGCAGTTAAGGGTGTGGCGGGGCCAATCGTGGCGCAAAGAGTCGTTTTGGAGACCTGGAGACTGGTGGAAGCCTTTGGCATTGCCGGAGGCCCTTCGGTTGACCGAAGGTTAAAAGACGCCCAGCAGGCCAGCAGGCCCACCATCAGAGGTTGTGTCGCGTTGCTGTTGGTGTTGCAGTTGTTGTCGTGGTCGTTGGTCTTGCTATTGTGGCTGCGGTTGTTGTTGTTGTTGTTGTTGTTGCGGTGGTTGTTGTGGTTTTTTGTTGTTGTTGCGGCAGCAGCAGCAGCAGCAGGTGTTGTTATTGTTGTTATGGTGGTCGTCGTTGGCTGCTGTGATCGTGGCTGTTGCCATTGCGTTTTTTTCTTGAGGTTGTGGTTGTGGTTGTTGTTGTGGCGGTGGTCGTAGCTGTTGCCGTGGTGGTCACGGTTGTTGTCGGCGTTGTTGGTGTGGTCAGTGGTCGTTCTTGCGGTTGTTGCGGTGGTTGGTTGTTGCTCTTGTTGTTGTCGCTGTGTCCGTGGTGGTTGTTGTTACTGTTGTTGTTGTGGTTTGATTTTTGGTTGTTAGTGTGGTCGTGGTTCCCCACATTGACGTGTGCGGTTTTTGTTTTTAGCGCTGTATCCGCTCTCCTCCTCTCCTCGTCCTCCTCCTCCTCCTCCCGCCTTCCCGCAGTGCACCCACCCACCAACCACCAACCAACCACCAACCAACCAACCAACCAACCAACCACCAACCGCCAACCACCCACCACCAACCACCAACCAACCACCAACCACCGTGCGCCAACCACCAACCGCCAACCACCCACCAACCGCCAACCAACCACCCACCGTGCGCCAACCACCAACCACCAACCAACAAAGGGGCCGGATGCGCCCTGGCGTTGCGTGGCAGGCGCTCTGCAAAGGGGTCGGATGCGCGCGCTGGCATCCTGTGGTCTGCGTGGCTTTTTTGCGGCAGGACTTGTGGTGCTCTGCAAGGCGTCGGATGTATGCCCTGGCGTCCTGTCGTCTCCGTGGTTTTTGTGTGGCACGCGCAGGACTTGATACCCTGGCATCCTGTGGTCTCCGTGGCCTTTACGTGGCAGGCGCGGTACTTGGTGCTCTGCAAGGAGTCGGACGCACGCTCTGGCGTCCTGTGGTCTCCGTGGCTAGTGCGTGGCAGGCGCAGGACTTGGTGCTTTGGAAGGGGTCGGACACACGCCCTGGCGTCCTGTCGTCTCCGTGGTGTTTGTGTGGCGCGCGCAGGACTTGGTGCCCTGTGGTCTCCGTGGCCTTTGCGTGGCAGGCGCGGTACTTGGCGCTCTCCAAGAGGTTGGATGTACGCCTTCAGCCAACAGCTGTTTCCGGCCCATGTCCCACCAACCAACCACCACCAAAGTTCTGTATCTTTCACGCTGGCTGCGTGGTAAAGTTCAGCTGACACCAACCACCAGCCACCACCAACCAACCACCAATTGTCCGCCCCTGTGTCTTGTGAAGTTGATTGAAGTTGTCAACATGTGGGGTTATCCGGTCCTATAATTGTTGCTGTTTTTGTGTTCGGCCTCCTCGTTCAAGCTATTCTACTAGTAGTAGTAGTAGTAGTAGTCGTAGTGGTAGTAGTAGTAGTAGTAGTAGTAGTAGTTGTTGTTGTTGTTGTTGTTGAAAAAGAACAAGCAGAAGCACAAACAAAGCAGCAGCAGCAGCAGCAACAGCAGCAGGAGGAGTAGTAGTAGAAGAAGTAGAAGTAGAAGTAGAGGTGGTGGTAGTAGTAGTAGTAGTAGTGGTAGTAGCAGTAGTAATAATAATAACAATAGTGGTAGCGGTAGTAGATGGTGTTGTTGTTGCTGTTTTGTTGCGGTTGTCGCTATTATTGTTATTATTGTTGTTGTTGCGCTTTGTCTGGAAGAGGAAAAGCAGAAGAGCAGCCAAAAGCACAAAACTTTGAATATGCAAAGCCACTCGGGCAGCATATCTCGCACCACGGGCCCTTGAAAATAGCAATGTTGATGCCATGGGGTACCCGTTTTTATGTTGATCCATCGAATCTCATGTCACAAAAGTGCCTCTCTCGATGCTCTCCCTAGTGGCCTGCGATGTTTATCAAAACGTAGGCGCTTGGTCGGTGGCAAGGGGCGGACCCCCTACTACCTAAAGCTGGAATACCTAAAGGTAGAATCCTTCGGCCTGGGCCTTTGGCGATCAACAGGCCTTGCCTGCCGCCGACCCACTCGGGGCCTATGCTTTACTGTGTATTTTGGCAGCATCAGTTTTGAAAATGCGTTGTGATGTCGATCGGTTCAAATTGTTTTCAATTGCTCGTGGTGCGAGCTATGTTGGCCGAGCTGCTGTGCAATGTCAACATTTTATGTTTATGCTCTAATTTTTTGTTTGTATTATTTATTCTTATTGCTCTTCCTCTTTATCTTCTTCTTCCAATTCCTCTTCCTCTTGTTTGTTATCTTTCTCTTGTTATTTATCGCTCTCTTCCCGTTCCTCTTCCTCGTCCTCTGCCCTTGCTCTTTCTCTTCCTCTTTTTTCTTCGGAAGAGAAGACAAGGAAGAGGAAGAGCCAGACAAAGCGAGAGGAAGAGGTAAAGGAAGAGAAAGAGAAAGAAGTGAATAGGAAGAGAAGAAGAGGAAGAGGAAGAGACAAAGAAAAAGCAAGAGGAAGAGATTTCCGGGAAGAGAATGAGAAAGAAGAAAGGGAAGAGGAAGAGGAAGAAGAAAAAAAAAGAGAAGGGCAAAAAGCAAGAGAAAAGGAAAGAGCAGCAACTGGGCCCCAACTGTCAGGCGTAAGCCTATAAATCCGGGCGTGTCCTCGCCGAATGCTTTTGGTTAACCAAAGGTGAAAGGGGTGGACGCCCCCACCGCCGACCACTGAAGGGCTGCGCTTTACGGTGTATGTTTCACATTTTTGGAGACGCGTTTTCGTGCTGATCGATTTCAAGTCGTTGTCAACAGCAGGTGGTGCGAGTTATGCTTCCCGAGTGGACCTGCATTATTGGCATTTTATGCTTTTGAATCCTCTCCTCCTCTTCCTCTTGCTTTTGTGTTTCTCTCGTTCAAGAGGAAGAAGAAAGGAGAAAGATAATTGAAAAGAAAGATGGCATGAGAAAGAGGAAGAGAAACATAAAAATAAAGAGATAAAAAAACATGGGAAATGGAAAGAGGAAGAGGAAGACAAAGAGGAAGAGAAGTGGAAAGAGAAAGAGACAAAGAAAGAGGAATGTTAAAAAATGGATGGAGTACGGCGCCAGATTCCCTGGCCTAAATAGGTCCCCAAATCTTTTTTGGAGCAGTAAGGTGACAAGATTCTCTGGCCCAACTGGGTTCCAATTTTTTTTGCCAGCTGTCAGGTGGCAAGATTTTTGGCCTAACTGGGCTCCAAGTTCTTTTGGTGCAATAAAGTTGCAAGATTCTCTGGGCCAACTTGGTTCCCAATGTTCTTCGGATATATATATATATGAATTAATGCTTTAATATTGTTATTGTTGTTCGATTCAATATAACTCCATACAATGAGTTAAATCTCCACCGTGCACAGTAATTCGTCAGTTCATGTCAGTTTCATCCATAGCGGTATAAATGCTTGAAGAAATCCAAAGACCTGAGACGCTGACACTAAAGAGTGGATCCAGGAGGACCTGGTGCCAAGGAGATATGTTGGTAGCCAAATTACTTTTCTGGAAAAGCCTCAGACTATCTCAGTTTGCAGGATGAAATGGTGAAAAGAACGACCAGCCATTGAACTTGATTCAATAACTCCTGACAATCATTAGATTAGTTTGGGGCCAACAAACCAAGCAAACATGTTTTCTGTGAAGAGGCGGGTCAAAATAGAAACACAACACATCAATGCAAAACAACCACCACTAAATACCATAACACAACCATGTCCCGACTCAATCTTCCTCGCAAAGCAACAAAAAGTACACGAGGCAAAAAGCGGTAAAAAGCGCTGCCTCGGCAATCTTGAAGTCTTGCACCGACTTGTTCACCTGCGCGACTCAACGCAGGGCAAGGAACCCTGCCTATCAACTTTCAATCACCAGAATGCTGATGCTTGCTACTTGCTAATCGTGCAAACGAAATGCCATACTGTACCACAAGCAAGGCCAACAACATGCAAGTGCAAAGATTGCATAGCCTTTCTGAGGAAAGCGTGCTACCCTGTGTAAACTCACTCTTTGAGTAGTTGGGCATCAAGCTTTACCGAAGACTTTGCTGCCTTTGCTGCAATGTGAGAAGGTTATATATATATATGTATGTATATAGTTATATTAGATTACATATGACTTTTTGTAGTATACGTACTTGGAATGAGTTTCACCATCATTCACCCCAGAGCCATCGGTGCGGCCTCTGCTTGGAGCTCTCCAAGGTGTTGTAGTTTTTCTGTGATCCCCTGGAGTGAGTAAGCTCTCCACACAACAAAAACAGGCAGTCACACCGCAGCTTGCCTTTGTTCGATCATCTCGAGTCAATTGAGTCTTTCGGACTTTCACAAAACTGCTAGCGCTGCTAGCGCTCAAAAGGCAACCAGCTAGGGCAGCTAGGACTGCTAGGGACCTCGGACATTTCCATCATCTCCAGCTGCTCCACTGCCTGCTCTGACACAAAGGTCCCATGAAGATCCTTGAGCACAACGGCTTCGGCTCTCTCAATCAATGCACATAATAAAAGTAGACGGTAAGTATTCAAAGCTGCACAAACAAAATCACAAAAAGAAAATACTTTCAAACATTCAACACTCAACACTGCCGGACATTGAGAACCTTCAAAATTATATTTGTTCGTGTTTAGTCCTGTTTCTTCATTTCTCGGTCCGGACACCTATAACTAAGCACGCTCTTTGTACAAACAACTGCTCAAGCTGAATGAACTAAGGAAACCAACACTTTAAAAGCGACAGTTCTTTCAATCCTCACTTAGACTTGGCGGATGTTGTTGATACAATTTGTATTTTTTGTCGACTCAGAATAAAGCCACCTACTGCATTGTAAACGTCAACGGAAACCCAGCAAAGCTAGCAAAGCACCAAAGTAAAGCTCCCCCTTGATCCTGTTCCTGATGTGACCCATGCCGGAGTCTGCACGACAGCTGTTGCAAAGCTAGGATGATACGACCTTGCCGGCATGTCAAGCACACAATGTGCATGGACAAAGGTGATCCAGCCACATACAGTACCTCGACTGTTGATTGGTGATTCCATGGCAGCTTTCCAGCGTTTCTCGGCCTTCACAATATGATTGCAGAATCACTTCTTCTAGTTTGCACCAGTACTTGATAGATTCCGAGAAACCCAAAATACAATATTTCTTCTTCTCCGGCCTGTCTGCCACACAAGCACACTTGGCCTCAGCACAATGCTGTTGGGCACAGTGTAGGCAATAGTCAGTACAAATAAGATCAAATAAGTTTGCATGCAAAGCTGCAAAATTTCCTTTACGCAACTCAATGGGTGGCTCCATACATGAGAACACAATATACAAAAGAAAATCTGGAGCACCAGCCTACTGCAACCCGTTTGGGAGGAAGAATCCTACGGTGCATCAGCATCTCTGCAACATGTCCTGTGTGGGAGTCCGGGCTCCACTGACTTCGTCCATGGTTGGAAGACCCTAGCATTGTACATCCGATCAATTTCGATCACCTGGACCTGCCTGAAACGACTTTGTAATGACCGTTGTGAGTCGTCTAAGCAATGCTTGTCGTCTCAGCAAATCCGGAAGTTTTCAAACAAAGAGAGGGATTTGTTCCAAAGGCAGGCACTTAAGCATGCATTGCATTGCTCAGGTATGATTTCGTGGCATGCACTCAACTCAGAGGTGCACAAAAATGGTACACTGCTCGTTTCTTCACAGTCATGTAACATGTAGATCAACTTGTTCAATATGCTATTCGATGTCTACATTCATGCAATGAGCTTGTGAAACCTCTTTGATGTATCGATGGCACTGCAATGGAGTTTGGCATGTTCAAGCTATCAACCAGCGAGCCTATGTGGCTGGGGTGGACGAGAAAAGAGGAGCGGCCAGCTTCGGCTCCAAAATACTTTCCTGGAAATACAGTAAGATTTCCCGCCAGCACTGACCGCACTAGCTGTTCGCACACAGCACATGACTGCAACTCTCAATGCACCGCTGACCAGTTAAAACAAATTCAGGGTAAGCCACACAAGAATACTCAAAGTATCAGCTTGCTCCCTCCCAAGTTCGGTCCATGCACTTTCCAGCAGCATGCTTCGAGGTGGGGAGGCAATGGCACGGCAAATCCTCATGGCAAACCGTGGGCACTACAGTCACCACATGTCACCACCAGTCGCGAACAAATCACTGACTCTGGACTCCGGACCACTCAAATGGATGCGTCCTTGCTCATAGTAGCGATGCCCTTTGTTACTTACTAGTAGTGTCCTTGCCCCTATATACAGTATGAAATAGCTTGAAGCCGGTTGAGAAAGGTAGTGGTATGTGTGTGCTGAATACGGCCTCGAGAATCAACCCAATTCTTCAAACCGCTCCAAAAGCAATCCGGCGAGCCGAACCTCCACCAAGAAACCTGTTCCCTTCCCGTTCCAGCTTATGATGTTGCCAAGGGGCTTGAAAAAGATGAGGTTCAGGCCTAAATTTTGCAAACAACCAACGTAGTCATGCAAATGGTTGAACACATATGATTTTGTGGCTCTACCAAACTTTACCCAAAGCCGCCAGACTATAAGAGACTTGCGGTGATTGGGTAGCACCACATCCTTCTAATTTAGTGGTACTAGTAGCTTCTAGCTATATACTAGTAGCAAGGTGCCTTACTAGTACTGTAGTAACAAACTACTAGTAGTAAGGCACCTTGCTACTAGTAGTTTCTAGCTACGCCCTTGTTGCTAGCAACTTCCTTAAGCAGAATGCCTAAATATATTTCGTGAGTTTGGAAGAATGATCTTGGTGACAACGATACAGTCTGCTGCTGCCATGCAACTGGCATCACCAATCCAAATGCCTTCAGATGGTACCTGGTGATCATGACTTGGCGGCAAAGGGAGGTGTGATCATTATAAAATTGTACATATTAAATATTGATTATATAATATTATATATAAATATCAAAATATATACAACGACAACCCACCACGACGAAACCAAATGTTCAATGTTCAATGGTTTTGTGGCGACAAAGCTGGGTCCCTCCCCTGCACAAACATGGATGGTCCAAACGAACCCGCCCAACCCTAACTATTCAACGAAGGGAGTAGAGGCGCAGTGGTTGGTTCATGTCTGCTGTTCCCTCCCAACAAGCGGCCAGTGTTGCGCTGTGAAGAACACAGGGTTGCTAAAAAATCAGCGAGGGCCACCTGCCGGGAACATCAGCAAACGGTTGAATGTTATTAATTATTATGTTTGGACTTATCGCTGAGTTTGCCCCGACGTTTCTAGCCGTGGGCATATTTATTAGGCCCTCAGGTGTGTCTCAACATGAAGAGGTTCATTCTGTTGAGACATCAAAAACACAGGTCCGATGGCCATGAACGGCCTTTGTTACGCGCAGTTGAGACACGGGCAACAAGAGACAGGAAAAACAGGATCCAATGACATGTGCCAGAAATTGTTCATTGCTGGAGTGTATGTTTGAAACAACCAGCTAGTCTCACGGTAGGACCCATCGGGCTATCTACTCAGGTGGCCCCGCTTGTGGCCCCGAAAGTTGTGGTATTTTTTGGCGCCCGTGTGGCCCGGCTTTGCCTGCTACTTACCTTGGTCAACCCGATGGAGTGGGTCTAATGGATAATGGGAGGAGCATGATTTTGTAAGAGGGCAAACATTTCAAAGGCTGCAAAGCCGCGCGAAAAAAATTGGTGCGGAGAACCCTCCTAGTGTCATTTCCGTGGGGTGAGAGAAGGGCAGCGATATAGTGATGTACAGGTGAGGGCTGTTAGATTAGATCTTAATGTTAGCTAATTACTTCGCGTCCTCTCCTCCTCCCGCTCATCGCCTCCTCACAACCGCAAGTGTTCCCCGCCGGACATCAACCGCCAGGTCCCAATGGCAGCGTTAACCACCAGCTCCCTGCAATCGCAGCTCCCGACGGCAGTGTTCCGCGCCGGACTGCATCTGCCAGCTCCCGACGGCAGTGTGAGCTGCTAGCTCCCGATGGCAGTGTTCCCCACCGGACCAAAACCGCCAGCTCCCGACGGCAGTGTTCCCCGCCGGACCTCAACCGGCAGCGCCCGACCGCAGGACCTCAGCCGGCAGCTTCCGACGGCAGCGTTAACCACTGCAGCTCCCGATATAGCAGTTCTCCCCGCCGGACCAAAACCGCCAGCTCCCGACAGCAGCGTTCCCCGCCGTACCTCAACCGGCAGCGCCCGATGGCCTCATTCCCCGTCAGCCGGCAGCTCCCGAAAGGGTTCCGCGCCGGACCTCAACCGCCAGCTTCCTGCCGGACCAGTTCCGGATGGCAGTGTTCCCCGCCAGACCCCAAAAGATATGTTAAATAGAACGCCAGAAAAAATGCCACAAGATATGTCAGAAAGAATGTCAAAAGATCTGCCAGAAAGAATGTGAGAAGATACGCCAAAAAGAATGTCAGAAAGACTGTCAAAAGACTAGACGACAGGGTGGCCCGAAAGCATAGTAGCAGTAAGCATTATTACGGAATGGCTCCAAACGAAAACGAATGATCACAGGCGCACGATGATGTATAATGTCTGCGTATGTATGACGTTGATGATGATGATGATGATGATGTATGATAATTTAATATAGCTTAAATGTATTACGGCGATGATGATGATGATGATGATGACAAAACACTGCGCTTGCCGCGAAAAGCTCTTTCCCGTACTGCAGTTGCACTAAAATCTGGCCGCTTCTGAGTCCAGCTCCGAAAGGCTCTTTCCCGCACTACATGTGTACTACAAACTGGCCACGTCTGAGTCCAGCTCCAAAAGTGAAGCGCCAAGTCTCCAAAACGAGCGTTTCGTACGAGACTTCGCGTCAAAGTCTCCAAAGTGAGCGTTTCGTATGACCCAAAACGAGCGTTTCGTATACGAGACTTCCTCCAAAATTGCGAAGCGCCAAGTCTCCAAAACGAGCGTTTCGCACGAGACTTCCTGCAAAAGTGAAAGTCTCCAGAACGAGCATATCGTAATTACAAGACTTCCTCCAAAAGTCACGCATCGACACGCACCATCCCCGCAGAGGGTTGCTCGGGCACAAAAGCGATCGGCGTTTCACGACACGTTAATTTGAGCACTCGACACGCGCAATCCTCGCAGAGGGTCACCCGCGCACAAACCAAATTTAATGGGGCCTCCCATTTGGGGCCCTAGGGTGGGTGGGGCCCCAGAATATGTTTTTTATTATTCAGGGGTGTAGGACCTACACCTGACTTGACCAAAAATTATTCCATATGTGAACAGTTCTCAGGAATAATTTAAAGCAACTTTCAACATGCAGTCTATATGGCATCCTGAGGGAGGCAGTCTCTCTTTATGGCAAACATGTAGTAAAGGCAAGGCCTGCACACCACAAGCTTTACTAGTACTTGCGCTGCTAGAACTAACCCAAAGACACCAACTCCTCACCAGAACCCTCACTAGTTTTTGCACTCCTGTACACAATCTCCATAACCACCAGAAATTATTCCAGGGGTGGTTCAGTTCTGGTAGGGGCCTAGAATAATATCACCTCCCCTGTTTGCCTCTATACCGAACCCTGCCTGCCACTACGCCTCACCCAAAACCCATCACAAACCCTTAAACCTCAAGCTTTCCCAACCCATACCAGAAGACTTAATTACTAGTAATTTTCATTCTGCTCCCTATTTCCTGCGCAAGATAAAACTATTCCAGGGGTGGTTCTGTTCTGGTGGGGGCCTGGC